TTCTTTTTAATATTTGTCAGTGAAGTGAAATAACTGCTGAGGGAGAGAGGCCACTAAGTACAGATTAATTCAGGTTCCCCAAATATGTTTGCAGATATGTTTGTTTTAACATTAATAGAATTGTCCTAAACTTAAAACTGCAAACAAATGAATAATAAACCAGCTTCTTATCTGCTGCCTACCGTCAGACACGTGTGTACGCTCCATGCTGCTACAACGACACTGTTAAACGTTCAGACATAGGAGTTATCAAAATGTAACCTCTGGTAGCTGCTGGGCTTCATACATGTTCTAGCAGCGGAATAAGTGTTTCCTTTCTGTATTCCAGATGATGACGAGGGGGATGATGATGAAGGAGATGAAAATGCATCCAAGGCTCCTCAGCCACTGTCCTCCTCCGCTCTGATAAAGCTGGCAGAGGGAGACGAGGATGTGGTGGAGGACCTGGAGCTGTCTGATGAAGACTGAGGTTCATTGCTGCTCACATGAGAGACTTTCTACTTCTTCCACTTTACCAGCCATCTATTCTCACAGTATTTCTGAACTTTTGATATTTTCTTTGCTTTTTATCACTTGTACAGTGCAAATGTGTTTGCGATATAATTTTATTAAGCATTGAAATTCTATTAAAAAAAAAACAATTCCTTCCTTGATTTTTTTCCCTTAAGTTTCTAACTAATTGAAGCGTGTATGTGCATGTTGATGCACAAGTGCACCTGAAATAAGTCATTTGTGTCCTGCGTACATGTGCACACCTGTAGGAACCCTCAGGCTTTGTGAGGACAGTCTATTTGGAGAGAGCTACGAGCCTCGCCGAGCTGGGCTGAGCCAGGCTGGTTTGGCCAAGAGGAGGGGTACAGAGAGACGGGTGTTGAGCCCCGAGGCAGCAGTGCTGTGCCAGGCTGGCAGGGTGGTGTCTGATGCGGTGCCAAGATTCTCTGCCCAGGTGGTAGAGCAGCAACACAGGCTGGTCTGTTTCTGTGCCAGCTCCTCCAACCCCCGCCCATCTCTCCCGACCACTGTCTTTTCTGTCTGTGTATTCACATGCTCAGACACGGCTTTCCTTCTCTAACTTATCCCTATTCTCAGCTTTACTGCAGCTTTCACCACCAAACTAAGGTGATCCTGTTCACCAGTGTACAACACAGGACAGAGAAGTTGGACTTAAACTCCACTAATAGTGATTTAAGTTTTAATTAGTTTTGCTACATTTCCTCTGTAGCCGTTTTCAGACGCCCAGCTTAAAGCAAGGGGCAGAGCTGTAGAAGCAGACCGTGCTGCCTCAGTGTAAGTTCTTGGGGGAGAAGAGTGAGTTTGATCGGGGGCTATTCCTGGTTCTGGTCCTGCGTGTGGGTGTATTAGGAGGGTCGGGTTTATCCCCGCAGGCAGGGAGGCCTTGGCCTGTAGCTGAACCTCACACTCTGACGGCTGGTGTTGACCTGAACTGCGCCCCCCGTGGTTCACCTCCCCTTCAAAAGACCACATATAATCCCTCCTGCACATTTTTTTTACAGAAGAACCACAAAACACCTGAGGAGGAAAGGGCACGTAGACGCTGTTCTGACACATGCACACAAATATGACAGAAAAGAGAAAAAACAGAGGAATTTCTTTCGGATTTATTTCACCCGTGTGGTGAATAGAAAAATAGGATGAAGACAAAACATTTGAAGGGAAATCTAGAGACCATTTTTTAATTCATTGCTTGTTGGTTTAAAAAAAATCCATAACAAAATCAAAACATTTGCATTAAGAGCTTTGTGCCATTCTTTTCCCTGCAACCAAGAGAGAACCAAGTAGAAGTATCTTTGGAATCCATCTGAAGGGCTAATTATAATACATATCATAATCTGCTTTATCTACTACATCAAAAGTCCTATAAATATTTTTTCCTCATTTATATGCTGGAGTAGCATTCAAGATTGGAGCGTCTTAATATTACACTTAAAAAAATGGCAGAACAAAAGTATGAACATAAGTACCACCAAAGTTCAGCAAGTCACATTTTTCAGTAAAGAAAACCTTATTCGTGCAACTACATTTAACAAAAAGTAAAAGTACCACGTATGTAACCTTCAGGATATTTTCATCTTAAGCATGATTCTGTACAATTTTGCATGTTTTTCCTACCTCCCACAGTAGTCAACACAAGCGTACAATGACATAAGCCGTACACACCTTTTCCATTTCTCCGACATACAGTATTTGAAGTCTTTGTATGTCAGGAAATGACAGCTCCACCTAGACCCCATCATGTGAGGCACAAGCCTAGCATTCCCCTGTTGGACCAGTCTTTTCTCTGAGACTATTAATGCAAAAAACAAGAAGCAGACACACTGTGAAACATGGTTCCAATTCCACACATCCGCTCATCTTTGGTATTGGGACAGTGGAATGCATAGTTGCAGTGATAAAGAGGGAGCTGGTCAGATCTGTGGCTGCTCAGCATATATGCTTCGAGCTCCAGCCTCTAAAAAGACAGCTCCACGCTGCTGTTTGGCTTCCGGAAACGAGGGAGCGGAGGGAAGCGAGGGAGAGAAAAGAAGAGAGGCGTCTCCTTTTAATTCCTGGGTTCTGCAGGGCTTGTGGTGAGAGCAGAGATACAGACCAGAGAAAGAAAGTGAGTTAGCAGAGCTTCCTCCAGCCCAGGAAGGAAGGAAGAGTTTCCGCTAGCGTCTGACTGTCTGACTTGCAAGAATGTCGCATTTGTGGCAGGGCTTCGCTCCTTTTTTTGGCAGGCTGTCTGTGACCAGCTGTCGACTTTTCCTCCTTTTTCTCTTCCTCTGTTCCTCTGTTGCCTCACGTGTCCCCCATCCAACCCAGTTTCTTTGGATTCTGCTCGACTACAGCCGCTGCAGACAGACTCAGACTGATTGGTTCGCCGGCTGTGGTTCATATTGTCCAGTTGTCCTTTTATTCCAGTCCAATGTTTTCCCATAAAATTCAGCATTAAGCTCCCAAGGTGGGGGGAGTCTAGTAAAGAGAATCTAGGAGTCTATCTGGTTGAGTTCACCCTCCTCACCCCTGCCTCTTAGCACCTACGAAGGTGTTTTGGCCTCGTACCTTCCCGCCACCGTGGAGCTGTTACCGTTTTCCTGCTTGGGGGAGGAGCACGCTGGAATGGGACCACTGTAAGGAGAGGAGCTGCTGCTGGTGGAGGTGGGTCTGTGGGGTAGGGACAGAGGGAGGGGCAGGGGAGTGTCCCGATCCCGGTCTGTGGGGCGCAGAGCGGCAGAAGGCGGAAAAGGGAACGCCAGGGGGAATCCAGTCATGTAGAAAAGCCTGCCGACACGACGCGCCACCTGGGGAGACGAGACCGTAAGACTGTCAGTACATTCTGTCGAGTATCAGGTAATAGACTTATGTTATAAACTTTATGGTAAAGAGAGAGAGAGAGAGAGCAGACACAGAGGCTGCAGCCTGCTGAGCAGGCTAGTTTAAGGGATAATAAGCTATGCTACACTAGCAGTTTGTTGTGGGCCTACGGACAGAAACACACACTCAGACACAGTTTTACTCCCAAGTCCACTTGATCAAACACACACGCTGGTCTGTGGTGTGTGTACCTGTGAGCGGATCTTGAGCGCAGGCCCCAGCTTTAGTCCCATGGTGCTGAGCAGGTGCTCCTCAGTGAGCAGCGGTAATGTCTCTCCATCAATGGCCTGCTCCCGAAACACCTGGCGAAGACACAGCCGCTTCAGCCACAGGACCCAACACACACACACACAGAAACACACTCGAAACACAAACCTGTACGTTCATTCACACAACCGACAAAACAGTGACTCCATTCCAAAATGTTACATTCCAATTTTGAGAAGAAGAAAAAAACATTTTACTATAGAGAATCCACTTGTGGAGAAAATGTTGATAAACAAATCATCTCAGTGGCCGAAGAAATCTGTTCCTGGCCTGAGTCTTAATCTATTTAATAAATCCAGAAATCTCTGTCTGTCTGTATGTGGCTTGTATATCTCGAGAACCGTTCATCTTAATGGCCTCAGACTTGGCATTTGTATTATTCAGGGAAACAAGGAATTGCAGTGTTGAATTTGGTGCGATTAAGACACATGATCCGTTTAATACTAATAAACGTTTATCAAACAGCCCTCTGCAGGCTGGGACTCATCAACGCAAGTGACGTTGTTGACCACGACAACAGTGTGTTCACGACAACTGGTTCTCCATACTACTGAGTCAAGTTTCACTAAACTTTGAATAAACAGGTAACTTGCTGCGGCTCAGTCACTTTAAAGGTTTCAGTTTCACCACAGACTGAGTAAACAGCCCATTCTAAACAGGCAGGTTTAGAATGGGCTGCACTAGTGTTAGAGATGAAAGGGACCATTTCCACTGTATTTGTCCATGAAATATATATTTCTGAAGATAAAGCTATTTTCTACTGAGATGAATTGTTTAGAATTAGAGTCAATTTTACTTTCGAATGACTACAACGATTTTAAATGACTTAATGACTGAACACATCATCATGTAAGTATCGTATCTTTCTCAAAAGCTGGATGTTTCATTTTGGAACAATATAACTGCACACAAATACACATGTCATTCACACAAGCTACAGGTGTACATGCTCCGCTAACTCGCCCTCATTCACACAAAGCCCACAAGAATGGCTGCAGTTGTGAACGTGACCATTCATGTCTTCACACATTCACAATAAACTGCTGCTGTGCTTGGTTTAGTGTTTCTATCTTCATCAATGAGATGCTTGAAATGCTAGAACTCGGTCACTAATCTACAGTCAGCCTGCCCCTGGCCTCCATCTCCTCCTCTCTCTCTCTCCCTCCCTCCCTCCCTCCCTCCCACCCATCCAAGTACTCACCTGTGTGTATTCAGCACATCCGGCCAGGCTGCTTATGAAGCCGCACACGTCCTCCACACTCCACTTGCTGATGTCCTCCGCAGGGTTTGCCGTTGCCGAGTCCTCCCCATCCATGAAAAGACCTCCCATGGAGCCTGAAAGAGCAGCAGTGGGTGAAAATGATGTGTCAATGTAAACTCTGGCTACAAAGCTGCTATTGAGACCGAGGATCCTGCTTCTGTTCCACATTTGTGCTGATGCGGAACACCAAAATTGCAAGCTTAGACCGAGTCCTGTGTTTGGAAATGTTTTTGAACTGCACTTTAGAAAAAACTGGACCCAAAAAAAGGTTTTAAGCAAAATGAGTTTGAAAAGGAGAACGAGTAATTCCATAAAAGGTTAAAAATGAAGATTTTTTTCCGAGACCAACATGAACAGAAGGAATTCAATTTTTAAAATATAAAAGAGAATATCAACTGTATGATGAAACCTGTTATTTGTTCATTTCACACTTACACTTTTCATTGACAACCAAACAGCTGAGGATTATGGATAAATTGACAAATATGCCGACGTCTACTGACCAGATTTTAATTTGTATTATGATAAAATCAAGTTTAAGGTTGTTTGCAGAAAGTATGTTAAGTGTTGTGTCTGCAGTTATTATGTACATGAACAAGAACAAGAACACAGACCCCCCCCCCCCCCCCCTTTTTTTTTGCCCACGTGGCTGTTCTGCTGGTGGTGTGCATGAGGGTCACACCGGGGTCAGAGGCAGGGCCCCTAACAGGGAGAGGTCTCCACACTGGAGACACGCAAACAGAGGGTGACACTAATGGGTTTCACATGTCAGTATTCAGCCGCGCGCGCGTGTGTGTGCGTGCGTGCGTGTGTGTTGGAGTATCTTACCCGTGTGAAAGTAAGGGTTGGCGTAGGGGAACCCAAAGGGGAACGACTGGGCGTGAAGAGCAGGCAGCGGTGGCATGAACCCAGGGGGCAGGTGGTACTTGACGTCAGCCTTACCCAGTCCAGGGGTGAAGAGGTGACGACTGGGTGATTCTGTACCTACTGAGCTACAGGGGGCGCTCAGCCTGCCTGAGCTCTCTCCCAGCTCCTTGGCATTTTCACATGCTCCCTTGCTGCCAGTGTCTTTACCCCCGTCCCTCTCTCTGTCCCTGGGTTTACTCGTTGACTTGGCAGCGGCACTCTCCTGCCTCTCCGTGTACATCTCTGTCTCGCTGTCTGAGTCCTTCATCTCCTCATCCTGCACCTCCCTCTCTCTCTCCCTTCCTCGGTCCTCTCTTCCACCTGTGTGGTCCCCAGCACGGAACTGTATCTGGGGGCCTCGGCGGAGGGCCTTCCTGGAGTCAGCATCTGGCCCAGCGGCGGAGCTCTGTGCCTGGTTGTCTTTGGGTGTGGAGGATGCCCCTGGTTGTTGCTGCTGGTGGCTGAGTGCTAGAAGGGGCGTGGCAGCCCCGTGGCGGAGCACCAGCATTGCGTTTGAACGGCGGGCCAGTTCCTCGCGGAGAGGGTGGCCCTCTGGGATGTCGTGCAGGCTCCGCAGGGCAGGATGGTCAAGGGGCAGGCCATGAGGTAGAGCTCCCAGAGAGTCGGAGCCCAGTAGACGCTGCTGCTGTTGTCGCTGGTGAAGACTTTCCAACTCCTTCTGTCTCAGCAGCTCTGCTGACATCTCAAGTCTGAGGCAGTAAAACACATCAGGACTTTAACACCCATGCCAACGGTTTCAAATTGTCAAATTATTTCACATATTGATTTAATAGCTGTGTATTAAAACATTTTGATGTATCCAGAAGTTTGCCTTTGAAACTATTTAGAATGTGAAACTTTAATGTGACAAAGCCACCACATCTCAAAACTTTGAGCTGTTGTCACAGTTATTATTATACATGGCTTTTATAATCATCCTGTGACATTAAAACACACACCTGGCCAGATTCTGCTTCCTCAACATCTCCTGTTGCCGAGCAAACATCTCAGCTTGAGCTGGTTGGAGGAAACCATACCCTATGAAAGAAACAAGAAAATACATGCACACCAGTAAGCACAAATAAAAATCCCAATTATTAGAAATGCTAATGAAATGGTACAAATATATGAACACAAACATTAAAAAGTGACTTAAGTTACCAAGAAGTTTGGTTTTGAGTTTTGTGCTCTGGTACATTTCCCTCTTGTCCGGGCAAATGCGAAAATACATTTTTCTTTTGTGCGTATTAACTATTCAGCTTTGGCGTCACTGATGACTCACCAGGGGCCTGGCAAAGAGCAGAAGGCATGCCCAGGAACGGAGGCCGCAGGTGAGGTCCTAAGGCAATGTGAGGGGCCGTCGGAGGCGACAGTAGGGGCGGCGGGTGGGACAGATCTCTGCAGACACAAATATACAAAGACATCATTAAGCCGAAGTTGGATTTTACTGAATATGTTAAAAAGGAAAAAAGAAGAGAGGAGGTATGTATAATGCATGATGGTTTAATGAATAGTTTTAATAATTTTGTTTCTCTTCCCAGTGCGTCTCAGCTCCGTCGTTGTGAGTGTGCGCTGCCACACACCAATGTATGCAGTGTATTTTTATCAGTGGAGCTCCAGAGGCCCCCATGTCGCCCCAGTGCCTCATCAGTCTTGCCACGCCACAACAAGCGCCGCTGGCCATTGCTGTACCCTGGACTGCAGCCTTTCCTTCCCCTGCCGCCTCACACACACACAATATATACACAGATAGACACATACACACAACTCTAGACCCACACACATAATGAGAGCTGAATGCACAATGCCAGTGTGTCATGCTCCGACAGCTGGGGCGGCCCCTGTGTCTTGACCGGGGCCATGGGCTGGAGGACCTTCTAATTAACACTCATCCCTCCTCTCTCTTCTCTCCCCTTTTTACACCCTTCTCCCTGCTTCCCTCCCTCTCTCCCTCTGGGCTGCATTGAAGCTGGTGAAAAGATGGAGCGTCCTGCAACGTCTGCTTCTGAAAAGGCCTCTCCATTATTTGCTTCGTCTTTTGTCCT